TGGGCAGTGTACTGAGACCATTGTTGTTTGTTTCATAAACTATATGCCAGAATATATACACTCCTCCATTCAATTGGTCACAAACGATGTCAAGTTATTCATGGAAATTTATAGTCAAACGAACTGTCAAGTACTACAGTAAATTATCTCTCACCTTCAGGAGTGGTCAAAGGAATGACTTAAGATTCAGTATTATGAAATACAAGATGTACTTAGGTCTTACCAACAGTAAACAGGCGTATCACAGGTCCCAATAGGACGAAGAACAGCATTAACCAATACCAAATTTGAAAAGGACCTGGGTGTGTATGTTGTTGTGAAAAGTATTGTAATGTATGTACACTCGCAAGAAAAACGTTTCGAACACCTGGGCATGATGGATGTGGGGATGAGCAGAATGGGGCTTGTCATCTAGGAATAGTTTCAAATTCTTTGTGTATTTTTTTAAGATTGCATAGTGCTTATAGCATTTGAGTAGTTTTGGGTGAGAATGTACTTATGACTAAATAATTCTCTACTAAGTATTAAAATATTAAGTAGTATGTAATCTTAAAAAAAATGGTTATTTCAATAAGCAAATCAAGTAAATTAGCTATGAAATGACTAGGATACTGTATGTATCAACTGGTGGGAAATGGAAGATTGTACCTTCTAAACTACACTTTGTATGAATACCAAATTTAATGGAAAGCTCATTACAAAATTTAATAATAAGTTTACTGAATAAAACGATTATAATTTGTAGTTTAGAAGATAATTAAAATTAAGTGTAATAGTTTCCTGCCATTTTTACATGGCTAGAGGGACACTAACGGAGACGAGCCAGGGAATGCGTACAAGCAACACGGAACATAGGAAGTTGACGCATTCCAACTTTTGCCGAAAATATCTATAATCCACTATATGTTTTAGTATCTTCTAGCAACTAATTAGTACAACAACACAGTTTATTAATATGAGGATACCAAGACTCTCAATCATGATGTATCTACTATAGAACGCTACATGTCCAAGAAATCTCCACAATGAACATCTCAAGCAAAGAGTTTATTTAGGCTATCAAACCTGACTGTGCTGATTCAGGTGTCAATATATACGGACAATAGAGTCGGGATAATGTTTTGGTCATTACATTTATGATGGTTTAGATAATCTTGGATTATAAAAAGGTAACGAGGCAGGGGTCGACAACATCGGATGCCATGACTGATTAGTGACAGACTACTCCATATATTTTTTTAACTAAACAGTAATTTTCAATAATTCGTTCCAGTATTTGTTAGTGTATCCGTGGTATTTATTAGCTGCCATGGAGGGTCTCGTATTTTCATGTACTGTATTATGTGTTACCACGGCACCAGCAGTCTTACTACCAATGTACAGTCGGGATCAAAAGTCTTGAACACTTGACAGTGTTTGACATGTAAGTACCCGAAGATCTCAGGTATTAAAGAGAGTTTTATCCCATTTTGTGGTTCAGGCATAATATGTGATGACAAGTAGTGTTATTAGTATATCCCTATCATATATGTATAGCTTGGAAGTAGATGCTAGATATTGTTAAGTGTTCAAAACTTCAGACCCCGACTGTACATGCATAAATCACTATTCCAAATTCCCGACATATGATGACAACAAATTGAACTTTTCGGACCATTGTGAGAAGGCCTTATTAGAAGGGCATTTGGATATCTAGTTGCTTCAAAAGTAAGGTGCTCCCACACTTGCAGTTATGTCACATTGTCTGGTCCCCGAGAGATGGTAGAAACAGTTAGTTGATTGAAAACTTCTAAAGGAGGGCCACCAGACTGATGCCTACACTTTGGCGCCTCATTTACTTAGAGAGATTACAATGCCTGCAGTTGCCTAGCTTATACAGTACTATAGGCGGGCAAGGGTGACTTATTAGAACTTTATAAACATCTCAAAAAGCACTACTCAGTCGAGTGCTCATACTTTGAGTTGGGAGATGCCTGCTTCACTTGGGGTCACAGCTTAAGGTTGAAGAAACCAAAAAATCAGAAAACTGTCAGTTCAATTTCTCTTGGAACAATCTGCCAGATAAGGTTGTGACAGCACCGAGTATGAACTCATTTAAGACCAGACTTGACCAACACTGGTGCAAGTACAGACAAATACCATGGCATAACACATTTACTGTGGAAGACAAATACCACGGCATAGCACATTTATAGTGGAAGACAAATACCATGGCATAACACATTTACTGTGGAAGACAAATACCACGGCATAACACATTTACTGTGGAAGACAAATACCATGGCATAACACATTTACTGTGGAAGACAAATACCATGGCATAACACATTTACTGTGGAAGACAAATACCACGGCATAACACATTTACTGTGGAAGACAAATACCATGGCATAACACATTTACTGTGGAAGACAAATACCATGGCATAGCACATTTACAGTGGAAGACAAATACCATGGCATAGCACATTTACAGTGGAAGACAAATACCATGGCATAACACATTTACAGTGGAAGACAAATACCATGGCATAGCACATTTACAGTGGAAGACAAATACCATGGCATAACACATTTACAGTGGAAGACAAATACCACGGCAAACACATTTACTGTGGAAGACAAATACCATGGCATAACACATTTACTGTGGAAGACAAATACCATGGCATAGCACATTTACAGTGGAAGACAAATACCATGGCATAGCACATTTACAGTGGAAGACCATGGCATAACACATACAGTGGAAGACAAATACCATGGCATATTTACACAAATACCATGGCATAACAGTGGAAGACAAATACCACGGCATAACACATTTACTGTGGAAGACAAATACCATGGCATAACACATTTACTGTGGAAGACAAATACCACGGCATAGCACATTTACAGTGGAAGACAAATACCATGGCATAGCACATTTACAGTGGAAGACAAATACCATGGCATAACACATTTACAGTGGAAGACAAATACCACGGCATAACACATTTACTGTGGAAGACAAATACCATGGCATAACACATTTACTGTGGAAGACAAATACCACGGCATAGCACATTTACAGTGGAAGACAAATACCATGGCATAGCATTTACAGTGGAAGACAAATACCATGGCATAACACATTTACAGTGGAAGACAAATACCACGGCATAACACATTTACTGTGGAAGACAAATACCATGGCATAACACATTTACTGTGGAAGACAAATACCACGGCATAGCACATTTACAGTGGAAGACAAATACCATGGCATAGCACATTTACAGTGGAAGACAAATACCATGGCATAACACATTTACAGTGGAAGACAAATACCATGGCATAGCACATTTACTGTGGAAGACAAATACCATGGCATAACACATTTACTGTGGAAGACAAATACCATGGCATAACACATTTACAGTGGAAGACAAATACCATGGCATAGCACATTTACAGTGGAAGACAAATACCATGGCATAGCACATTTACAGTGGAAGACAAATACCATGGCATAACACATTTACAGTGGAAGACAAATACCATGGCATAGCACATAGTATTTATAGCAGAAGCAAATACCTGGATAACACATATTTACAGTGGAAGATAAATACCACGGTATAACACATATTTACAGTGGAAGATGAGTTATAGCAGGGATTCTCAACCAAGTGGGAATTCCCCCCAGGGGGGGAATTCAGGTTTTCAGGGGGAGGGGGGGAACTGATTCGGGAGCAAGAGATATGTTCGATGAGAAATCAATCACAGAATTTTGGCCCTTGATGTGCGATTCCTACCCAAAAGTGGCAGAAAGAGCTATCCGTGCATTGCTTCCGTTTGTGTCGACATATCTTTGTGAGTCAGACTTTTAAACTCTGTTGCAAATTAAAACGAAGCAACGTAGTAGATTATAGGTAGAAAATGACCTGCGTTGTGCCCTTGCAAGCACTCCTCCGCGTATCCCAGAATTGGCGAAGAAAAAACAATCACAGGTTTCTCATTGACTGTAATCTTCATCTGAATAAAATTAATTATAAATTTACAATATCCTGGTATTCTATTGAACTTTTTGTTTATTGCATTATGCTTCAGTTTGGTCTGTTAAGTAATTCATTATAAATTTAAAAAAAAACTATTTTACTTTTATTCAAGTTTTATAAATCCATCAACGTTTTCAATTGGCATTTAATTTGTAAAACTCCACTATAAAAATAATCCATGTAAAATTGTAAATGTATATGTACTAATATGGAAAAAATAAAGGATTTTCAGTATTATATGCATATTATTAGGAATGCACTTTTTGAGGCAGACAATCTTGGAAAGGAGGGGGGAATGACATTCTGACATATGGTGAAAGGGGTGCATGGGGCAAACAAGGTTGAGAACCACTGAGCTATAGCGACCATAATTACAGTGGAAGGTAATACATGTATTGTACATTTAAAGTGGAAAATGATTACCACAGCAGATCACATATTTACAGCACATAGAATAAATGTCAGAAAATAATAGGAGAGTCTGTGTTGTTCTTCACTCTCCACTATGTATTTAAAGGTCTACAAAAATTGAATGAAATGTGCAGTCTGCAAAAAAACGTTCTGCATCCCTTGGTCTGATGGCCTTTGCAACGATCTCTGACTGAGGCCATGTTAATTTGGTAAATGTTGGTATTTCTGGATGTGTGCTGAATTGTATAACCAGTATGATGTATTTTTTTTATCACATATAGTTAATACAGAGAAATTAACAGGAATCACCTATGTAAATGAGTGTTCGGAATTCTTGGTCCAGTGTGTCATACTGTATAACACCATAAAGGAGAAGATAATTTTTTTGTTGACTGTGCATTGCACTGATAATTATCGTTTTGCAACATTTCGATCTCATTCCAAACTAATGCTAATTAAGAAATGGTGACCACATAAAAATTGTATTGATTCTTTATCATAACCCTTATCAATAACCTCCAACATAATTTAGTTACCCAATACTTACTCATTAATAATGGCCAATACAGTGCGAGGTTCACAATGTCGAACACAATGGAAAGGAGGTTGATGCACATCGCCTGGAAGAGAACAAGTAAAAATCAACATCAAATTCTTCCGTACCAACGCTTCAGCAAAAGTGATATTTTTTGTTAAGACGTATATTGTTTATATTTGTAATATAAGCTAAAATAGTATCCCACATTACCATTTTATTTACCATTGAATCAATTTGTGTGTGTGTGTGTGTGTGTGTGTGTGTGTGTGTGTGTATGTGTGAGCGCGCACAGGGAGGGTAGTTAATGCATCTAGTGTGGTAGCATTATGTTAGTATTAAAGTGAAGGCAATGCTTGATTCCTCTCACTTTCAGATACTGAAGCTGGCTAGCCCTCGTGGTGAACATGAAAGCAGCTTTGCATAAGTCTTCCCCAACCAGTACACAGCTTCTTCACCAGCAGGAATCCTGCTGTGCCTCCTCGTGGCAACACACAATAATTAGGTGCCTCTCAGCCTCAGGGTACACCAGCAGGGGACATCAGAGCAGCAGTGGGCCCCAAGGGATGGCGCATAGGCATGTGGACACGCCCTGGCATCCACCAACCACTGCCCTGCTGCCTTGCAGATTAACCTTGATAGGCATAAGGCTACAGAAGTAAACCCTGAATGAAATATCTGCAGTGGAACCCTGTATCAGGCAGACATGGTTACAGATATCCAGTAAGACCCCAATGACGAAATAGAAGGAAGAGGTGACTAACACGTGAACTCAAAGGCTACACCGGCGGAGGAGGGAAATGCAAGATGGACAGGCTACGGAGGCGAAACCTAACAAACGGGGCTATCGGCAGTAGGGTGTGTCATACGGAGGCGAATTTTTTTTTTTGAGTTTGAAAAATCGGCCCATGATATTAATGATGTAGTTCTATGTGCAGAATCATGTGATATCTTCAGATTTGAAAAGTTGTCATTTTTTGCTAGGTAAATTTTAACTTGAAATCTTATGAAAATTCAGTATTCCCACCCTTTTACCAACACCACTAAATAGCTTATTTAAAGTAAAGTAAATGTATCAGGTTAATTTATTAGGATGAAATTGATCCAGAATAGTGAAACGAATGATCTTGACACATTTATTAAATTCAATATTCCTTTAGAAAACAAAATCATCAAATACAAAAACCGGTTTACTACTACGACCGGTGTTGCTGCACCATAGAGAACATGTCTTTCTTGCTTCTGTTTCTACTCATCACCTCCCTGCTGACCACCTGAGCTCGGATGTAGCCTTCCCTCCTCTCCTGGCTGTACACGTGACTGCTGGCCTCGCTCACTTGCTGTACACAACGTTCTATACTCTGGGTGTGCGAGGGCCAGGCAGGGACATGCATGGGGTTGTCCAGGAAAGCTCTGACTTGAACATTGGTGAGGCTGCAGGTAAGAGGGGGCTCACTGCCAGCCTGGATGTTTTCCAGATCTATGAGATCAGTGAGGGTCTTGGCACCTAGATTGACTTCAGGAGTCTTCCTGACCCTGAAGGAATCGTCACCAACTGATTCGTCATGCCCAGATCCTCTCATAAGTCTCATATCCAAGATCTTTTTGACTGCCACTCTTCTCTCCTCCTCATCCTTACTGCAGAGCATTGTCTGCAGAACTGCCTCAGGATGAGCATACCAGGAAGATCTCCTCACAGTCTGCTCCACAATCTGAACAACCTTCCTTGGCTGACTCCTCAGGAGCTCAAGCTGGAAGAGAACATGCCTCGGACCTTCGGAGAACGATGACTTGACCTTGGTGTTGAACCAATTTGGCAAGTAGACACTCACGATGAATTGGACAATAAGTCTCAGGTTGTGAAACTGGTTCCCTTTCAGATTATGATGAGCGACCCAAATTCTGCAGAACCTGAGAGCCGTTGTGGGCCACCTAGAATGTGAGACTGGACCTATCTGCAGGTAAGCAAGTCTATCAGGCATGACCCCAGTTTTGATGGCACTGCAAATCATGTAACCATAGTACTGGTCAGTACTCAGGTCGTCAAAGACAGTATGTGCAAGCTCAACGAGTGGAGGGCCAACTGAGATTTTTTCAAAGCTTGGATTTATGTCTAACTCAGTGGCAGAGTCCAGCATCTTGCCAAGAGGACCAGACCATCTGTTGTTTGAAAGAGTCTTGCCATCCAGCTCCTGGATCAGATGTCTGAGTGGCAACTCGTTGGTGTGGAGGTCACAAACAATCCAGACCAGCTTCCTCCCAATCTTCCGCTTTTATCCACTGTATGACCCCCCTTTGCCAATTCCTTCTTAAAAGTTCGTAAGTTAGTTCTGTCCCCTCCAATGGCCTGCAGGGTCTGGTCTATTGTTCCTCTCTGAGCCAGCGTCTACAATGTTAGGTCTGCCACTATCTCAGCTGGTTTCCTGATGTCATTCCTTTCTGGAGTGAAATAAATACTTCCCCTCCTGGTTCACTGCAGCAGGAGTAGTGTTCCTCCTTCACCATGGCAGGGAACAACTTGTCAGAATTTCCAACTTTCATGAACACTTTAGTGTCATCCCTTCTCCCATCAAAGAACAAACAATTGATTCCATTTTCTCTTATCCCCTTATCAAACTCCTCTTCTAGGTTACTGACAAGTTTCTCCTGAGCTTTCCTTACTTTGTTATGATCTATCACCAGGTGAACATCATCAGGTGTTATCAAACCACCGTCAATCCAGGCAGCTGTTGCTATCTCTGCAGTTTCTCTGAGACCAGTGTGGTGTCACATGCTGGCCAGAGCTCTGCTCGGGATATCTTTCCTATTTCGAATCTTATGCCTGGAAGGTTTGGGATCATTATTTTCTGGGTTAGGGACAAAGTCACCATTCTCCTGTTCAGCACTCGGATCAGCCATGGGGAAGTCATTAAACTCTGAATCAGCTTGACTCCAATCATCGGCCATTTTTACCTCACCCTGTGCCTTCTCAAGTCTCTTTTCCTCGGCAACTCTTCTCCTCTTCTGTCTCTCTGTGGCAGCCTCCTGTCTCTTGGACTCCGAAATATCTTGGCTAGAAATCATGAGAGCCCCTATACTGCCAGTCTTCTCTCTCTGTGCTTTGACAAATGCCAGTTCGATCACAGGAATCTTCAGTTCACGCTTGCAAATACAGGAGATGTGGGCCTCGGATTTATAGTCTTACAGTCACGATCGCATCCAAACTCAGGACAGAGAACAATTGGGCACTTGCAACAATATGTCAAATAACTGGTCCAGTTGCTGCTAAAGCTGTCCTTAACTGCAAGTTTTCCTCTCCAAGAGAGATATTCTTTGCCTTTTTCCCAACTGGCTAGCAGTCTCCTCACTAATCTCTTCTGACTTGTTATGACTGGAGGCTTGAACTGAGCGTTAGCTAGAGGTACTGTGCCAAGACAGCTTTTTAAATATATTTCACTGGCAATGTCTTTGTTTGTGTAAGTTCTTTGGTTCTTTTCACTGATTTGCCTGATTAAAACACCGTATCTCAAAGCATCTCTCAATGTAGGCAACTCCGACTTCAGGAGCTCTCTCCCAGACCCAAGATAGTGACTGAGATGGCTGGATTTTTGGTTCCTCGTCCTGACACAAGCAGCCATCGCAAATATTATCAACTTATAAATGCATCAGAATCTGAAACAGAAAAAATATTGTTAGTTGGGTTGTTAAAGAATGAAGTCAGAAAGCAATGTTCACTATTTAATTGTAATGCACTAATGCAGCTGTACGTTAGATTTTCGATAAATTTCACGCTAAAATTTACCTAGCAAAAGGTTGCAAAATATTGAAACTGAAATTATTTTCTGTTTATATACACTAAAATCTACCAAAAAAGTGATGGGCCATTAGTTTTAGCTGATCTTCCCTCCTATGACACACCCTAATCGGCAGTCCATTGCAACTCTACCTCTCCCGAGTCGTTGCAGCTACCTGCACCACTGGATCAGGAAAAGGGAGAGTCAGGATATGTGGTTGCAGCCTGTGCTCCTGCCTCACCACATAAATCAACTCAAGCATAGCTATTATCCAGCTCATTATATTATATTTCTCATCATCATCAAAACCCCAATACCCCCAAAAGTTCTATGATGACAGTCGAGCGGTGACTGGGACAGGCAGAGATGACTGCCGGGAGTCTTTAGTCACGACTCTGCACATGGACGGCATAGATAAGATGGTCATTTATGCACTGGAATCTTGGCAGCAGTGTAATCCGGTCTTTTCTGTGTGATTGAGCAATGAGCAGCCCATCGGGATACCAAAGCATTGTGTACACGATGGCTGCTCTTGCATATAGCCCTTAGTCCGACTGACTACCGAGGCAGACAAGCGCCAGCGCCGGAAAGACGCTGCTACCTCCCCTCCCACACTAGAAGTAGCCCTTCACATGTGTAACATTTGTGGATGGCCCTGCCAGTCCCGCATTGGCCTCTCGAGTCACATCAGAGCTCACCAACGAAGGTGACATCTCTAATAACTGATAGCATTGTATCATAGCTGGATGTCGTCATACTCGATTCCTAGTGACAGCAAAGAAGGTAGTAGTAGTAGTAGTAGTAGTAGTAGTAGTAGTAGTAGTAGTAGTAGTAGTAGTAGTAGTAGTAGTAGTAGTAGTAGTAGTAGCATTCACACATGGAGTCAAGCATCGTTGGAACTACCTGATGCGTACCATCCCTGAGATCCGACCCCTCCTCCACCCTTTGGAAGAAGCAATCAGTGTCAAGTTCATTCCCAAACTAGTGAAACACCACGACTTAACCCCAGTAGAAAGAACACTTCTTGCACTTCCACCAAGACTGGGAGGGATGGGACTAACTAATCCAGAGGAGATTGCTGACTCTGAACATCAAAATTCACTTAAGCTCACGGCAGCCCTCACTGACCACATAATAGCCCAGAATGCAACAGGGGAAGTGGACACCAGCGAAGTTAATAAGATCCGTAGATCCATTACAACAGATCGGCAGCACTGCCAAAATGACATGTTGCAGCAACTATTGCTGCAGGTTCCAGAAAATTTGACAAAAAAAGTAGCTATAGCGCAGGAGGTGGGCGCCTCGAACTGGT